TATTTCCAGTAACATGGTAGTTTTCAGTAGTAATAAAGAAAATGAGGCAGTGAATAAAAAGCAAATAGTTATCAATGCATGACAAGTAATCAATAAATCAAACAATCAATAAATAAAGGGTGGCGGATATATAGGTAATGTAGGAAAAGAAGACGTGTGGAATTGCCTTGCTAAATAACCACGGATCTTTTATTTAAGAACATTTAAGAGTTCTTGTTTGTTTTGTAAGCACATCATGTCAAAGAAAAAAAAATTTAGTCAGTTTATAGAAGTCAGGTTTAGTGTGTGTGTCTGTGGAAAGGTTTGCCTCTCCAGCTAATAGAAATGAAGACAGTAACCTAACACAAGAGCGACTCTATATGTCTGTCGGGGCAGGGTGGGTGCCTTTGGAGGTTTGCTTTGGTTTCTTTCCTTTTGTTGCAAGTTCCACCTGCTGGTGAGACAGGAGCATGTTTTCCAGCCTATTGCCTCTCACACTGGTTTGGAATGCCCAGGCTGGGGCCTTCTTGGCAGAGCTGTGTCCACTAGTGCCAGAAATAGAAATATACAGATGGTACGCTATCCATGGAGGAGCAATAGTGACCTACACGATCTGTTAGGATCCACAGGCTGAAGTGCTTTAGTGAAGAAGGGGTGGGGAAATTGCCCATTTCCCAGTGGTCATTCAACCCCCACCCGGCGTGGCAGCTGCACTGAAGTATTAAGGAACCCCAGCACAGCCTTCCTTCTCTGCTCTCTCTCTTTTCCCTTCTCTTCCCCCTCACTCCTCTCTACTCTCTCTCTTCTCTTCCCCACTCTCTCCTTATTTCTCTCCCCTCTTCTCTCTTCTCTTTTCTCTCCTCCTTGGTGCTGCTCTGCAGTCTCCTTCCCCCACCAATAAAACCTTTGGTAAACTCCACAATGGCAGTGCCAGAGGGGAAAAGCTGCAGGGGTCAGAGATAACCCAGAGAACACAGTGACACAGGTTGGTGGAGACTGTAGCAAACTAGACACCACACGGTACATCCAAGCAGGGCCGCGGCCGCTCACCTGAGTGGGTGGTAGCCATACAAGAAGGCAGGTCAAGAATTGCCCCCTCTAGTTTTCACAAAGAGCTGGAAACTTGGTTTTTGTTTTGTTTTGTTTTGTTTTCAGTTTAGATATTTTAATTTTCAAATGTTGTTAGAAAATGGGTGAATATAGCATGTGTAGGTATAGATACAGCCGTACACACACGCTGCTGGGGGGTGGATAACCTGGTAGAAGGAGGAAGATAGAAGCTAGACTCCTTTGAATATGTTTTGTTTTGTAGATTGGACTTTGGTCAAATAGTTTACAGGTCTATTGAATAAAACTGGACTTTAAAAATGTAGTCATGGAAAATTGAGAGGGGAAGAAAAAGGAAACAATTGAACCTCACTGGGGATCAGACTGGTGGTGTCACCATACAGAAGGGAATAATTTCAAGTGACTTTGAAGCTGATCAGGTTGACTATACTTTGTTAATAGGATAACATTTAGAGATTTAAAAAACTGATAAATTTTAAGTTTTTACTAAAATGATGTTAGTGTAGTACTGGCATTAGTATTCTTAAACTGTTAAGTGTGTGTTATGGTTAAATGAAAGGAGTCATTGTGTTGGTGTTATTAAGGACAGCAATGTGGGGTATGGAAGAAAGGTAACAATGCCATAAGGTTCATGAGGTCAGGTGGAAATCTGTAAGTCCTGAATTTGAATTAAAGTGTCATGTAAAATCATTGTGTATTTTAGTAAAACAAAACAAAACTTATCTTCTAGCTCTGAACACAGAAACAAAGGCTAATCTGGCAGCAATGAGCTTCCAAACCTTTCAGCTTCTGGTCTGTAAAGACCAGTTTCCACTATAATAAACCAGAGCTTCTTACTAGAAATTACTGATTCCAGACCTGGGGCAGAACTGTGTAAGGTGACTGTGGAACGTCTTATACCACAAGCAAGAGGGTCATCATAAACCACCAGGTCATATTAAAAGAACTCAGGCATCAACTTGAAGAGAATTTCCTGATCAAAGGTAGGAAAGTTAGATCCTAGGAGTAATAACAATGTTGGTGTGAAACAAATCAAAACGTTCATGGTAGTACTTTTAAAGTAAAAACCTTCATTGGTTTGGGAGATATTAGATGACAAATTCAATATTTTGAAGATCAGTAAATAAAGGAGGAAAACTCGAGCTCTGTGAAGTTTCTCTATAAACTATAGTTTAGGTAAGTAAATAGTTGCTGAGATGAAATTTCTCTTGATAGAATATTCTAACTAATAAATTGGGAAGAAATAATAGAGTTAGGATATAACCAGTTTGAAACTTCTAATGAAATCATGGAGCCTCACTAGGAAAGATCACTGGTAGCTGATCATATCACAGCAAAAAATGTTACATGCTCAGAACTTAAGACAGAATTTGGTAGGCCAAGTATGCTAAGTATACTCTCTCTATATATATGTACATATGTATGTATATGTATGTATTTTTTAATTTTATACCTAGAAAAAATGTCATTACTAAAATTAAAATATATATATATATATAGGACTTAATATACTCTTGCTTTGTCAATGATTCCCTTAAAAGAATTCCCTTTGTCAAGAGTACATCACTTCATGTTACTCTGAAAAATGACGTAATCTGATAGCAATGTAGTAGTTCAAATAAATCCATTTACATAATTTTTTAAAATGTTATGTGCCCCTCCTAATGGAAGTATCCCATGTAGTAAGCAGAAAAATACTTCCCATGTCCCAAAGATCTCCACATCCTAATCTCAGAACTCATGGATATGTCACATTATATTAAGGGAAATTAAGATTGCAGATAGAATTACTATTACTGATCTGATAATCTTGAAATAGGGAGATTAAATTTTGTTTGCTGGATCTTATTGAAGATTTCTGCATCAATATTCATTAATGATGTTGGTCTATAGTTTTCTTTCTTTGTTGGGTCCTTTTCTGGTTTGGAGATCAGGGTGATATTTGCTTTATAAAATGTGTTGGGAAATATTCCTTCTTTTTCTGTGTTTTAGAAAAGGTTATGTAATATTAGGAGAGGAGGGGGGTGGTTGGGGGAAGGGAGGGTATTTGGTGGGATTTCACCTATTGTGCACAATACAGTGGGACATTTCACATCTATTAAGAGTAGAGTATAAACATCTTACCACAACAAATAAGTAAGTGAGGTCATGGCTATATTAATCACTTTGATATGAGCATTCCACATTGTATATCAAATCAGCATATTGTACCCCATAAATGCATTAATCTATACAGTTATGGTTTAATAAAAAAATACGGAGATTACTCTGGATTATCCAGATGTGCTCAGAGGAATCACAAGACTTTAGAAATGGGAAAGGGACATAAAACATTGAGTATCAGAATGATTGGATGTGAGAAAAGCTCAGTCAGCCTGACTTTGAACATGGAAGTGGACTCGTGATCTTAGAAATGTGAGCAGCGCAGAAGCTATGAAGAACAAAGAAATGCATTCTCCTTTAGAGCCTTCAGAAAGGAACGCAGCCTGTCTGACACCTTGATCTGGCACATTGTGTCCTGGGTTAGACTTCTGACATACATAATTGTAAGGCAATAAATTTGTGTTGTTTTAACCACCATTATTTGTTATTACAACCATATAATATTAATATACCCCATTGCCTAGGAGGTATACATATTCTTTCTAGAAAAGAGCCTGAATGCTATCAAGCCACTTGATGTAACTACCAATTTATAGAAAATACAGCAGGCATAGAATCACCTTATATGAAATTATGGAAATATTTGGCAAAATCAAAGCTCTCTGAAATTCTATTAAAAATTACGTTTATCCAATAAGGAGTATGTGTATGTATATGAGACACTGACTGACTTTGGAGATTTTAAGACATGGTCTAGTACTTCATATGTCAACCAATTGCTGTAGGGAACTTAATTCAAATAAACAAATTGTAAAGGGAGAAAATATATATTAGTGAAATTTGAATATTCACACTGGGCATTTGATTTTTATTTTAAGGGTGTGTGTAGAATAATGAGATTATGATTATAGTATTTAAACAAAGGAAGGGAAAGAAGTTGAGTACAGTAGATAACAATAGTAGGCCAGGTTTGGTGGCTCTTGCTTGTAATCTCAGCACTCTGGGAGGCTGAGGTGGGAGGATCATTTGAGGACAGGAGTTCAAAACTACCCTGGGCAACAATAAAGAGACCTCATCACTACAAAAAAAAAGAAAAACTAGCCTGGCTTGATCGTACTCACTTGTAGTCCCAGCTCCTAAGGAGGGTGAGACAGGAGGATTGCCTGAGCCCAGGAATTTCAGGTTGCTGTGAGCTATCATCATGCTACTACACTTTAGCCTATAGGTAACAGAACCAAGACCATGTCTTCAAACAACTACAACAGCAACAACAGAATGATAGCAGTAGCCATAAATTGATAATTGTAAAGATGAGTAATAGATATATAGATGTTTGCTATTTATTTTCTATTTCTGTATGTTATTTACATAATAAAATATTAATAATAGTATTAGTGATATGATGTCTTAAATGTTTTGTGATTCAAATAAGGCAGGTCCAGTATCTGTATTTGGCCAACAGACTTCCAGTATGAAATTCTGTGTAGAGTTTTGGAAACAGGATTTTTCATTTTAATCTGGAGAATCATCTTTTTCTTTCTTCCCGCTCACCTTCTGCCTCCATTTCTTTTTTGGTGCTGCCTGGCAAAAAGGGCCTCTTTCATCTGTGTGTGTAGGGGTCACTACAGATCGCTTGGAATAGAAATTTCTCAGAGTAAGTGAGCAAAAAGGAGAATCTGCATCATTGCCTTGAACAAGGCCTTCCAGTATTCTATGTGTTTGTACTCCCCTCATTCCATACCCTCAGGAAAAAAAAAAGGCAACAGCTTTGTTTCAATTTTAACAACCATGGGGTATTTGGAAATTGTGGCTAACCACATTACCCTGGTATCTCTGTGTTTTTATTTTAGGATGGAATGGGAAACTTGAGGATCACAGAAAAAGGTCTAAAACTAGAAGGAGATTCAGAATTCTTACAACCTCTCTACGCCAAAGAAATCCGGTCCCGACCAGTAAGTTTCTGCTGAAAGAAGAAAGAATTATTGTTCTTTTGAAATCTAAATCTGGGGAAATTGATCTAACCATCTCTGAGTATAGATAGAGGATCTGGATAGAGAAGAGCAATTCTGGTAGTGAGATGAATTTGCATTCATAGGGGAATCTTTGAATATACTCTCAGCAGTGGTGCTATGAGCAAGTAAGATGACCTCTGAGCCTCTTTTCATTCCTGCATAATAGAGGGTAACCCCTGCTAACCTACTTTGTAGATTACACTGCAAATAAGGCAAGACAAGACATGCAGAAAAGCCACAAGTAGTGTTAAAATGCAAAACAATATTGCTATTGTCTTTAATTGTCCAGTGCTTCGAAGCCATACCTGGAAACACAGAGCTGAAGAACTAGAATTTTGTTTTCCATTAAGACACTGGACCATATAGCTAGTGATGGTTAGAATCAATTTAATATCAACAACTGTGTTCCAAAATGGTATGTAAGGAACTTCCACAGAAGCTCCTTCTCCAGGCACCTTGATCCTTTGCATGCCTTATCATTGTGATAAGAAATAACAGATTGGCCCACTGCCGTGGGGACAATGTTGCCTCTGTTTTACAGATTAAATAATTGAGTTTGGAGAAGTCCAAAACTCTATACTTTTTAAGTAACGGGAGAGGGATAACAGACTTTTTATACTAACCACCATCTCCTACCTAAGCTTTTTCTTTCATTCTTTCTTTTCTTGTTTATCAAGGCAGAAGTGATTCCTACATACCTGGCTTTTATTAACCAATATAATCAAAATGATTTTTATTTTTTAGTTGGTTGGTTTTGTCTCTTTAGTTCTAGTTTTTAGTCGGGTGGTAGAATTGCTGGTTGAAAAGGAATATTAATGTACATGTTCTGCTTAGGACTGATCCCTGTCCATTTGCAAGTAATGAACACCATGAAAATTTCCCAATGTATCACTTGTACTGTGCCCATTATGGAGCATAATTAATGAAATTCGGGAACTTGATGCAATGGTTAATTGTATCTGAATGCCAATCTAAATCTTGAATTGTTTTAAACTGAGTGCAACTATTAAATTTCCAATAAGGTCACTTTCTTATGTGCCTCGTAAAAAGAGAGGGAGCCGGGATGTTAAAGTTATCAAGAAGAACAATTTAATAAATGATTATTTATAAATTTAACTGGAACCTATAACACATTGGCTTGGGTACTGAAAGTACTAAGAGTATTGTTAACATATGCACTGTCATTAGGGAACATTTACCCTAGCAGGTTCTCCACCTGTGGGTCAGGACCCCTTTGTTCCATTTGTAAGAATGGGTCAATTAGGAAGGTTGAGAACCAGTGCTAGGGGGAGGAAGGAGATGGTCCCATAACAAAGAGGGTCAGGTGATCATTCTGCCTTGGACTGAATAGAGACAACAGAGATTAGATCAATCTCAAGCATTTCAGAAATAAGCAGCATGCCCTTGATTCATATATACTTAGTTATTCTAACCTGGCAAGTTGGCTAGTTAAGTCATTGGCTCACTTTTAGTTGCACTTTAGATTAATACTTTCATCAAATTAAACTTGTTTGATCATATCCATCTAGATAGGTTTTTTGTGAAGGGCCAGAAAGTGAACAGGGTATTTTTTGTTGTTGTTTGTTTGCTTTTAACAATTCTGTAACAGTATAACAAACCGTTCTTATTACAGCAGCTGTACAAAAGTAGGCCACAGGCTAGAGTTTGCCAACCCTTCTAACCAGTTTGCCAACCCTTCTAATCTGTGTTGGTGATATTTCCAAGCATATACGAAAGCTCTGAGTAGATTGGGTGGGGTAGACAGAATATATTTGAAGATCATAGGTAGAATAGTTGATAGAGATTAAGTAAAACATCCTGAAATAAGTTTCCTTGGTGTGAAATTAGAGTTTTACAAAGGAATTGAGAAATATGTTTTGGAGGACCTGAAACAGGATACCGGTACATCTCTTGAGTTCATATGCAGGAATTCAACTTTTAGCAAATACGTCAACAAGCCTGCCTGAAGCTTAAAAAGTAGTGATGATTTCAAAAAAACTTCAACATTGAAAAATCTAAGTTAAACTTAATACTTTAAAAGAAAGTATTTAAAGAAAATTGTTTGAATTTACTACTTTCCATTGTTCTTAATAACTTTTTCTTCCAAAGTAAATAAATAAAGTTTTATAGCCTTCCATGTTTCTGTTAACAAAATAAATATGTCCCAACTGAAGGAAAAAAGACCTATAAATATACAAACATAATAAAATTCATCAGTAAATCAGATGAGCTCTACCTGAAACCTGGGCCCAAATCCATCCACATCACATGCCCCGCCCTAGGTCAACCACCATGCTCTCTCCCTTGTAGTAACTTACTGCCTTTCACTCTCAGCCTCACTATCCAAATTGCAGCCAAAGTTGTCTTCAAAATGTCAAGTTGTAGGGGAATAAGGGAGCAGGGAGAGGGGAGGAGGGAGGGGATGGAGGTCGTGGTGTCTGACACACCTCTTGGGGGTTGGACACAATTACAAGAAGGACTTTACCTAGCAAATGCAATCAGTATAACTTAATTCTTTGTACCCTCAATGAATCCCAAACATAATAAATAAATAAACAAACCAGGAAAAAAAAAACTCATTGTATCTGGGATAAAATCTGAATTCTTCACTAAGGACTGTAAAAATTCTTTGCCAGATGTTTTCACAGAGAACTTCTTCTGATCATACAGGCACGTCAGATGTCACCTCTTTAGAAAGACCTTCCCCCAATCAATCCATTTAGTACAGTAGACATATCTAAACAGCACAGTGCTTTCCCCCCTTTATAACTGTCATTATTTTATATTCTTATGTGAGAATATATATTTGGAAGAGCAGGAGGTTATCTGGGTTTTTCCTCCTATATGCCCCAGCCCTAATGCTGTGCCCATACAGTGTGTGCTCAATAGACATTTCTGAAATTGTATCAATGAATCACTGAAACTGAGGGTATCCTTTAAATCTACCTGATAGAGGCAAGTGCTTTTAAAAGTTTTTTATGTTTTTCAGACACTTCCCACAGTGCGTATTTTTTTAGAAACCATACTTTTCATGCTATTTTGTACAGCTTTTCCCTTCTTGTGCTGCCACGTAACAATGTTTTGGTCAACAACTGACTGCACATATGACTGTGGCCATAAAATTATAATACTATAATTTATTGTGCCTCTCCTATGTTTAGCTATATAAACACTTACCATTGTGGTACAGTTGTCTACAGTCTTAAATGCAGAATCATGATGTACTGGATTGTAGCTGAGGAGCAATAAATAGATTGTACCATATACCCTAAGTATATAGTAGGTAATATCACCGAGGTTTGTGTAAGTACACTTCATGATGTTTGCACAATGACAAAATTGCCTACCAATGCATTTCTCAGAATGTATCCCTGTCATAGAGTGCCACATAATATATTGTTAATTTCCTGTATCTAATATTTAAAATTTTAAGAGTTTTCTTGAGGCATAATTGACATACAGTAGCTACACATATTTAAAGTATACAATTTGATAAGTTTTAAAATATGTATGTACATGTGAAACCACCATAATCAAGATGATGAATGTAGCCACCAACCCTAAGTTTCTCCCTCCCTTATTTTTTGGGGGGGAGGAATATTAAATGATCTTTTATTGAACCATTTTCCCTTGTACTTTCTAACTAGCCAGGCATTCCACTATGCCACTGTTGATGTCATCTATGATGCCATGAGGGTGGCAGCCATCAACTTTGCAGCCCACTGACTGAGCAATCCTCAGGATCTCTTTAGTGGTTCCAGAGAGTTCTCTGGCTAAAGATCAGTGCCGCATCTGTCTGGCAATGTTGACGGTCTCATCAAAAGTGATATTTCTGTGGTGTTCAATGTTTTTCTGTTTCTTTCTGTCTCTTGGTGGTTCCTTAAGGTCTTTGATGATGTGGGCAGAGGCAGAAGGTGCCACTTCAATCGGGACCTGTGTGTTCTGGATAGTCAGTTTCACTGTAATCCTCAGACCCTTCCAGTCACTAGTTGCCTTGGCAATGTGATCAACCATTTTTGGAGACAAACCCAGGGGGCTGATCTTGAGGGCCAGGATAGATGTGGCACCGACCTCATCACTGGTGCACCTCAGGTACTCGACTTTGATATCATTGGGGATGAACTTAGGTGGTGTGGTGGAGGGGGCCAGTGTCAGATAAACCCAGATTTGGGATGACTGAAAAAGCTGCACTTTAGCCTCCTCCAAGCCGAAATCCAAAGCCCCCAGCCCCATTTTAATCCCTTCATCCCACTGCTTCTGTCCTATTTTCCCCACCCTGCTTTCTAGACACGCACTGATCTGTTTTCTCTCCTGTACATTACTTTGCATTTGTGAGGACCTTACATCAGTGGAATCATACAGAAATGTATCTAAACAATTTTAATAACAAAATTTTAATTTATAAGAGCCTTTTTTAAAAAGCATCCTTTTAATATCCAACTTAAAGATGAACACATTTCATTCTGCCTGCAATAGGGTTTCTATCTTGATTTGGAGAGGAGCGATATTAGAAGTGGTTCAGGGAATAAACCTTTAATATTTCTCTTTTAGATGACAGAGAAGGAAATAGAGAATAATATATTAGGCATGGCAACAAAGGTGGAATTAGTCTTGCTTTGAATTGTCACAAAAACTGAAAACAAGTATGTTCACACAAAAACAGTGAAAGAAGAATCAAAGATGGTGATTTAGTCTATAAGGTTCCCCTCCCCTCAAGCACAGGGGTTGTTGTCAGTTGAACAAAACTGAGATTCTGGTAGCAAAGAAAACAGGAGGAATAAGTGTTGGGCAGGCAACCAATGGATCTGCCATATTGATTAGATCATAACCTTGTATGGATGCTCACTTGAACCTGACATGTAATTTGGTTACATTTCCTTTCTCTGCTCTGTCATCTTCAGCTCATTGGTTGTTTTCTGATGTGCCTGACCATTGCTTGT